CTCCAAAAGATGCAGTGCTGGCGTCGGATTGGTCCATCTTCAGTGACGGAGGGTAACTGGTCTACCCGATGCGTGTGCGCTTAGATGGTGTTGTGTAAGGCCGCAGCTCGTACCCAGCTCAAAGGAGTCTGGATACGGCTGATAACCTGCGAACGGATGGAAAGGTGTGCCCTGGCCCCGTTCTAGCTCTTAGGTCAACATGAAGCTCGCGCGCTAAAGCTCCTTTTTACCTGGTTGGGCACTTGAGCCAAAAGTATATGGCATGTACCTGTATAGCGACTATACTGGGACCCCATCCCTATTGACAATGATCCATGATGAACATCCCAACACCTTCATGTCGGGGTCACCTGGCTGGTTTCGCCCCAGCCCACGACCTACAGGGACCTCCAGACAGGACACCCCTTTTTCAGGTCCAGGTCCTTACAATTCGATGATGGACACCTACCTAGCAGCTAGCACTTCCAATGGGTGCCCAATGGAGACCTATAAGTATAGGGCAGGGTAGTCTATTGGACACCCAAACAGGATGACCCTGGTACACTGGTTGACTGTCCCTACCGCTTCTGACGTGCAACGACCTACAATTCCTTGGCAACCAGCCTTGCCAACAAGGTCAACCTCTACGCACTCCCAAAAAGCGATGGATTCCTCCTTCTTGGGATCACATCCAGTCCGATTCTTCAACCAGGTGGGTGTGTTGTCCTTTTCCTCTAGGGATCCAGTCGTACCGAACCTCAGGTACGGTGGGACTTGGGGTGGGTGGGTGCCAGGAGGGTCCAGGTGCCGTACCTGAGAAGGTACGACTGGATCCCTAGGGATTAATATGTTCATGGAGAGATGAAGTGAACGAAGGGCATGCTTAGTAGGGTCTATTGTCCGAACCTTCCATTCTCTAGCAGGGTCTAGCAGGGTCTCCTTGGTGTTCTCAGCGCTACACACCCCAGGTGAAGTGGCAGTAGCAGGGTCAGCCGTCGAGTTCGTCTCTTTCCAGGAGTCCACTCCTCGCTGCAGTGGACAGCTCGGCTCCGTCTCCTGCCGTGCGCGGCTCGGCGTCTCCAAGTCACGTCGTACTCGGCTTTGGCATCTGTGGACAGCTCTGGCCAGTCATGGAGCACGCATGGCTTCCTCGGACCCAGCTGGCGCCGGCGCCCGCTCGCTCGGTGGGCGGAACGAGCGAGGTTGCTCGGCGATGATTCTCGACTGGTCGAGCTGCTGGAGAGGTTCAAAGGAATGTAGACGTTCCCGAAGACTCCCATTGACTCCCATGTATATATCCCAGACACCAACCCAAACACTCCACCTTTGTGACATCTTTACCGATCAGGCCAGTGGTGGTTGATTTCAGGGGTCAATGTCAGTTCATGTATATACTGTATATCCCAGACACGACACATGGGACTGCCATAGGACTGCCGAGAAACGGCCAGGGGTGGTGGTGCCAGGGGGGTCTGTCTGGGGCGGCAGTCCAATGCCAGTCGCATGGAGTGTTTGGGATATATCATGGTCTCCAAATACGTGAGCCAATACATGAAAAAGGGGCACCCACTGTTCGAGATACTTGGGGGTCACGTCCTGGGGGTCTTATTTTTTTGGGCATATTTACACTCCATGTATGGGGTGGCTGAAAAGGGGTCAATGTATACAGTATTATTCTACACAATTATGGAATGTCGGATGGAAGTGGAACATGGCTAACATGACCGGTTTGTCACCCTCGGCGGACTCGGCTAGTTCCTTCCTGGGTCCTACTCCTATCTCCTTATGGTTGGCTCGAAGGACTCGGCCAGCTTAACCGAGACACCGAGACTGGAGAGTGAGGGAGGCATGAGATCGCTGGAATTTCTCATCCCGAATCTGTACGACCTTGTTCAGCAAACATCTGCAAACCAGTCAAACAAGTCAAACCCTTAGAGCCTACCACAGTGGGGGACGTCTTCGAACAACATACAAAAGCCTCCAATTCGTGTGCGCTTCGTCTCCATGCCTCGGTGTTGAGTGGAGACACGCACATCGGAGTAAACATCTTTCACCTCGTTGCTTTGGGATCCCGCAAAAATACCGCAATTCTGCTAGGGGTTCTTACTACCCTGTGCACTGTGGTCTACTAGGGGGTCTTACTGCACAGGGCTTACCCAGGGGGTAAACTCACAATGTTATAGATGTTTAACATGGTGATGTTACCCCCTGTGCACTGTGGGACGATTTTTGCAACGAATGCCCTGATTCTTCCTCAGCGACGTCAACGACGGAAAACCCGTCCGCGATCTGCTCCGCCGCGCAGCCGCGCGCTCCGCATCCGCGCGTGGCCGCGCGCCGAGGCACCTGATCTTCGCAGCGGAGTTCTTGATGGAGGCAGCAGTGATCTTGGCGCTGACGCCTGGGTTGGCTCAGTTGGGGGCTGAGTCACGTGCCCAAGGTAGGAGATCAAACGACGTTGGGTCTATCCTATTGGCGCCCAGTGGATGAGGATAGTTAGTAAAGGCTTGTCTCAAAAATCATGATTTGCTGGTGAAACCCGACTGTTACAGGCAATGGTAATGAGACAGACCCCTATACCATAATGACATGGAGTGTCTGGGAATATGTGAGCGTTCCGTGCCTTGCTGAGTATGACTGTTCCCGAACTCACCGAGGGATCCTTCACGCGACCGGAACCGCTGGAGCCGGATGCAATGCCTGATGTCTGCACCACATGGATCGAGGAGAACTCCGCAGCAGCCTGGCGGCAAAAAAGCTCCAAATAAGCGGAAAAAAACACACCAAGAAAATCAGGGCCAGGAACTTGGAGAAGGGAAAACACCTTGAGAACTCAAGCCACGCCACTTCCACGCTTCTCGTGGGAGGGAGTTGATACACCTGCCACTCCCACTGGAACAGGATTGGAAAGCAAGGGGAAAAAGCACATCCAGCGTCTCTGCCAGATGGTTCGCTCTGGAAAACTCAATGGGGGCTATTCTCCGGCTCGCGCGCTGTTTTTGGTGTTCGAACGTGGCGCCTTGGGAAGAGGTGTCTTGGACAAAAGAAGCTCAGCATCCAACTCGAGTGTGCCATCCTCCATCTGAGGCACCTCACGGGCGAGGCACACAGTGCTGCAGTGAGCAAGCTTATGGAAGACCTGTTGGGCGTCCAACAGCACGCCCAACACTCTTTAAAAAAACATGAGGCAAGCAATAGCTGTGGGTGATATATAGGCGAAGGTGTTATATATATATATATATGTGTGTGAGGATGTGTGAGGCCAATGTTAAAGATGTTAAAGGCGAATCAATTTAGGGGAAAATACAGAAGTGTAGGTGTTGAAAGGCCTTGGAACAGCTTCAGTTGCTCGCGGAAAGGAGTGGAACAGCTGGCAGCTCAGCTGGTCCGGCATCGCTCCACCCGAAAACTGAAGCATCGCGGGAATAGCGCCGACCCTCTGTCTGGTCCGTTACACAAACATATAGAACAAGAAAAACATACCCAAACGCTCCATGCATGCCATATATGCCTACATTATGGGGTGGTTTGAGGGGTCGATAATGTGCAGTGAACAAGAAAAAACATACCTGGACCTTCAAAGGGTGTCCTGTCTGGAGGTCCCTTAGTAGTGGGCTGGGGCTTCCAGCCAGGTGACCCCTTTGAAGGTGCTGGTAGTTAGATCAGCAAAACGATGTGTGCTTCTTGCCCTCAGTCAAAACCCTTCGATTTTCAGCTACTCGCACAACTTTGGAAGATTCTCAAACACTTTGACTTTGACATTCTCACATGGAAGTACTTTGACATTTTAAACATTCCCACATTCTCAAACACTTCTCCGATGTTCTCCGCCTGGAAGTACTGTGCCGAAGGATCTGGCAACCTGCCAAAACGCCGCCGTTTCCGCCGTGACACGTACGAGCGGAATCAAGGCCGATCTTCACGATGATCTTGGCAGGTCAATGACTCAACCTGCAACCTACCGTACGGTACCAAACGCACAGCTGCGGGTGGGATCCAAACGTTGGCTCAGTCAAGGTTGGGATCCTAGGTCCGGTCTTCGCGGCGCCATCCACGCCATCGCCATCCACGTATCAAGTACCAGCTGGTCTTTCAATTGAGCGCACACACCGGGCACAGACCGAAGTGATTGGGTGGGGTAATCATGGGGTACATATATAGTTCAGGCATGGTAGTTGCCCACGGAAAAAGGATCAAACAAGGGCCGCAAGGATGCCTTCCGATGGTTCGAATGGCGCTCACCATACAAAAACTGATCCGAAACCAAACGGACTCAAGCATTTTGCCACCCAACCAGCCCCTGGACGAATCCTTAGAGTCAAGCATATCTCCTCGGTCTAGACCTCCCGGGCACCTACCCCCAAGGCCAGGTAGCCCCGAGCTGCAGTCGAGCCCTTCTTCGTGATGGTTCGAAGTTCTGAAGCGTCTTCGAATATCCTATAGCTCGGGTCTATCCTATTACCTGTAACAGTGGATGATGGTTAGTAGAGGCATTGTCCAAAAGTAGCGATTTGCTTGTTTACTGACTAAACCTATAGCATTCGTTGGAACTGTTAAGGAAGAGCTAAAATAGTTTGGTGGAAAACAACGGATTTGTCTATCCAAATGTGTCCTTTTTCTTGGGCAGGGGTCCCACAGTGGGTCCTGCACCAAGGATATCAAACAAGTGGCTTTGGCAAAAAAGAACACCAACCGTGGCCACCATCTCTCCACAAGTGGCCGCTCTCAAAGGAGTGCCTTTTCTTGACTCGCTGAGTGCTTTTCCCCTACCTGCGTTCCGCGGCTATACCGCTGTTCGACGACTCGTCGGTCCAAGCAACACCGACTTGGGCAGAGTAAAGTACATGGACTTGCTCTCGTCCTCCACGTCCACCTCCTTGCACAAGGCCTCCAGAAAAGAAGGAGTCGAAGGATGTCCCGCCCATTTGAAAAGCCCTGCCTGTGGTAACTAATTAAAGTAATCTCCCTAAGAATCCTTGGGCTCTCCATGGCAGGGGTCGGACCTTCTCCCTCTTCGCGTTCGGGGTCTGGACCCGAACCAAACCCTGTGTTGGTGAAGGAGCCCGGATTAAGTCATCTATAAATAGAATCGTTAAGAAAAGGACCTGTTGTTCTGGAAAGAACGGTGGATCAGTGAATCAAAATTAGAGGACGACCAGTCCTTTACTCACTCAGAATTGGACCACCGTGTTTGACCGGGGTTTAGACCCAACCCGCCAGTACATCTCCTTGAACCTGCCTGGCCGGCTTCAAGAAGCCGGTGGCTTGGGGGTTCGATGTTGTGTTCGAACCTCCGGGACCTGCCGAGCTTCAGTGAAAACGTCCACCAGCTTCGAAGCGGCGAGCTGGATCGTAAGACCATCACAGCAAGACCGGAAGCTCAGTCTCAAAAGAAATGGATGGAACTCTTCATTCCCAGCCATTTTTGATGTGTCAATTGCCACATGTATTGGGTTCCAACCGTACAACCCAGAACTGTTTCTGGTTGAGACTGGGGATCCAGGAAGACCGGATGATTGCCTTGTCAGTGATTGCCTAGTATCCTTTTGGTCAATTCAGGTTGCAACAGGTAGCCGTCCAGATCCAGAACCGCACGCTGGTGAAATCCGCCTCTGAGAAAATGCCGCTGTAGTGAGATGCCAAGCCCTTGACAGTGGAGGGCTGCCACACGGGCACCGGCTCGCTAAAGGTTCGTGCCAGGCTTTCCTAGGGCGATGACAGGTCTCGGCTCCGATGACGGAGGGGTGCCTGTTGGAGAGCTGGATGGACTCGGAGGGATTAGGCTGTTAGGATTGTTTTGGAGGCTGTTAGGCCCTTAGGCTGGATGCTTTAGGTTTAGGGTTGATCATATCTATGACGGACATATCGGGTTTGGACCTTGGAAGGCTCCTGAAAGGAAAAGTGCTAAGTCACAGGCACTCAGTAGTTGGTCATGTGAGTCAAGTTTGGAACCACAATCCCTTGGCTGCCCAGCTAAGATCTCCAAGCCCCCACTAGCTATGGGGATCCCAAGGCCATAAAACATATGGTCTTTACCTATAGTCTTCGGACTATTCTAGGCGAAGTTCACCTTGTCCATCCTTGTCCTAAGCCACACACCTCCGCTTGGTGGCTCTATTCCGTACATATTGGCTGTCGAACGGGCTTTTCTTGCACATGAGGATTGGAGAACATCGATGGTTTGGGTCAGCCCCGCCCTTGGTTGGTTCAGAAAAAGAACGGGCGGGTGCTATCTCCCGTGACCATGGCCAAGAGGTCCCAAGAGGGGAAGAACACCAGCGGTTGGCAATGTTGGCATGCCATATTGGGTTGGCTGCTTTCATCCATGCTCCAGATTTCATCCATGCTGTTTGGGTAACCTCCAGATGTAATCGGTATTTGAGCACTTCGATGCAGTTGAGTCACCATCTCATCATCAGTGCCTGAAAAGCGAATCAACTCTGGTCAGCCAAACATGCACTGAACATCACTGAACAAGTTATAATTGGAATTGCAGCAATAATCTTGGACCTTGGATGCGTGTCTTGCTTCTTCATCCCCCCAAACAAATCGTTTGGATTCCGCTACATGTCGGACCGCATGTTGGCTTCAACGCCGAGTCCCTCGCGTCGCTCTGTTGCTGCCATCACCATCACCAGCTTCGGGTGTTTGGAAAACAACATCGATCTGAACATCCCAGACACGTCTAATGAGACTGCCATATATGCCCACATTCACCCCTCATGGCCCACCACCGGTTACCGTTTCTCGGCAGTCCGGACGGGTCGTGTCTGGGATCTGAACACATCTGACGACGTCGTTCCTCCGCACCCCGAGATACCGCCGACCGGGCCCGCGTGGCCGGAACCCGGTGGTTCCTTACGTGGTGACACCAAAAACACGAGCCTTCTCTGATTGGATGGCCCCGGTTAGGGGTTGGATGGCCAATGTGTTTCATGTCTGCCATCAAGTGATCTCCACGTAAGATAGGACCCCCATCCCATTTATTTCTCTTCCAACTTCCAACATGTCCTTTCACATGCTTTTCACTGATAAACATAAGTTTAACCCCAAAGGTGAACCCAAACGCGGGACCTTCCCCGCCATTCCGGTGCTTCCCCAGATCCGCTTCCAGCACCCCAGCACCCCAGCACATGTCTCTTTCACCGGTCCGAGGTGCCGGAGGATTGGGAGGTGGTACGGGTCAGGATCTCCTCCACCGCTTCGCACTTCTCATCCTGCTGGGAGTACGATCCGCCCGCCGCGAGGACCGGGAGATCCCAGGGCTCCGGGAGAGCCGAGGACCGCTGCGAGCTGAGCTTCGTCGAAGGAAGACCGAGTCGTCCAAGCAGCAGCTGACCAGCACCGAACCCAACAGGTCTCCGTTGCATGGAGGGTTGGGTGTTAGGCCCTGGAACAGGTCTCCAAGCACCTACAGGTCATTGAGGTCAACCTTCCGAAATGCCGGTCGCCTGAGGTCACTGGTCGAGTCGAGTCCCGAGTCGAGTCCCTTTGAGTCGGTGAGGTCCAAGTTTGTCACGGAGTGAAGGTCGTGAACTTTCAGTCGCTGAGGTCTAGACACCCAGAAAAACTGGAAGAAGGAAGTAGACCACCCATATTATGCAGGCATTTAGAGATATTTAGAGTCAAGGACGAACTGAACTTGGCCATGCCCGTTTCCAGATGCTGCCGGTTCCTATCTCGGACAGTCTGTCTCTGATCTGTCGATGAGGGGGCCCAGCTTCGACTTCATGGGAGTGGCTTGGATATGAAACCGTGTGGTGTTGGGAAGTCTGTGGGAGGCTGTCTTGGATGTGCGAAAGAACCGGAACCTGGAAAAAGCATAACACATCTTCCCCAGGTATGGGGACTGAACATGATTGAACCATAGCGGGACTAATAAAACATCATCTTCAGCAACACCAGGTTGTCAAACCTAGTCTCTTAGATCTGTGCCAAAAGCTGAATGGCGCTTTATGCAAGGTATATTGTCTATCCTTATTCGTCTTGGCACAAGCCAGCCTCCGGTCGACCACAGTCCCAGCCCCATGGGACGAGGTCTGCAGTCCGAATCCCAGTGGGACGACCCATCCCATGGTATAACGGTCTATCCTATGACCAGCAACCGTGGATGATGATGGATAGTATTCAAAGGCCTTAGTTCAACAATAGTGAGAATTGTTAACTGTTACAATCTGTTACAGGTATAGTAATAGGATAGACCCAAGGCATAACTATTCCCATGGAGAGACCATCCGGACCCATCCCTCCCCGAATGGGTCGTCTGAACCCTGTTTTTGCCAGGCGGCCCGTGACAACTGACGCTTGAAGATGTCAGCGACCTCTCCCTTGGCGCCCGAGGCATAGCCCAGGCGATACTTCCCTGACGACGAAGACCGCAACGGACGCCGGAGAAAGGCCATGCGGTGTGAGGAACGCCGCCGTTCCCCCCTCTGATCGAGCATCCCTAATTGGCCCAACCTAAGTTGGCCAAACATGGCCATCCCTTGGAACTGAGACTTCTGGAATCTGGTAACGCCAGGGGTCACGTGCCCTTAAAGATCCCAATGTCAAAGCATGACGAGGAAAGCGGACGACTCCCGAGCCGTTTTTGGTTCTAAGATCAAGCTGGCCCGACCTGTCCATCTGTTCTTGTTCAGTGGGAAACCTTGGAAACCACCCCCTGACAGTACGGTTACGAGGCGTGATAAGAAACATTAAATTTAAACATATCCTCCCTGAAACAGTCATGGAAATAGAAAACCACAGGTTTGGTATTCGGGACACACTCTTCCAAGAGGCCATGCCACCCACGTTGTCCCATGTTTGTTGGAAGGAGGGTACAGAGCTACAAGGGTTGGTACCCTGACCCTTACACTCTGCACTCCTTGGACAAATCATTCGTGGATTGAGTTCACCACCCGTTTGGTAGGAAGATGCGAAGTCCGAAATCGGGGCTACACCATCCACTTTCATCAGTCTTTCAGGTTTGTATCTGCTTGTCATGGTTGGCACAATTTGTGCCCATCGAGGTGTTCTTTACCCCATGGGTTAGTTGATTCCAGACCCAGCCATGAAAAACCACATCTTGAACCACACAAGCCAGTTCTTTTAGTTTCTTCCTGCAACCCCAAAAGCACAGTCATTTCACCAACTGTTTAACATCGGTCATCGCCAAAAAGACTGTGTGGGTCTGACCGCCCCCTCCGACCACCGTGATCTATATAACAACGATCCCCCCGCACTCCGTGTCGACTGCGCCATTAGTCGAACGCCACGAGCGCCACGCGACGGTAGTCTTCACGGTACTTGTTGATCTCCCTCTGCTTCTGGTCGCTGAGGTGATTGAAGAGGGGAGCGTCGATGGGCGCCGTCTCCTCGCAAATGGAGCGACACAGGCGACCGACAGGCGACAGGCAGAGGACAGGGTTACACTCACTCACTCCCTCCGACAGGTCACAAAGGGTTGTGGAAAACCACCAGCTGCTTGCCAAGGAAATATGATCTTCCAAAAGAGCTATGTTCCACTTCCAGGATGATTTCAGGGAGTACAACCAAAGGCCACGACACCGTCACGAACGTTCAGCAGTTGGGGTGTTGTGTCCCCTCTGGAAAGCCCACACATCGTTGGTCTAAGGGGCATCGTCGCAGCGTTGACCATGCAGCGTTGACAACGATGCAAAGCATGATCCCTATGGATCCACCTTCTCAGAAGCTAATTGGACCCTCCAAGCCTACATAAATTAGTCTAAATAGTCTCCAATCACCGTACCTCAAAAGGTACGTGGATTCACATCACCCAGAAACATCGTTTCTTTGCATGTTTTGTTTCGGCAGCCTTTTCGCGGGGGGTTTTCCCGGGAAGCATCCGATTCCTGTATATCTCCATGGGACTGCCATAGGACTGCCGATCAGGCCAGGGATGGTTTGTCAATGTACGGCATCTTATGCCAGTCTCATGGAGTGTCGAAGCCGCATGTCTGGGAAGCCACGAGTCCTGTCGGCACCTCGATCCCTCCCGAGTCGACGTGCCTTCGAAGGAGGTGAAAAACGCTCAAAGGCTCGCAGTCTAAGCCGAGCACCCCTGAAGAAGCCAAACAACAACTTGGAGTCAGTATGCCTCGAATCGGAAAGAACAGTTAAAGGATCAGGTTCCTTTTTTGAATTCTTCACACCTGAACAAATACATGTGCCGTACGTGGTTCACGGAGCAAATCATCATATGTCATCCGTCAGCCAGTGCTTTAGGGAAAAGTGTTGTTCACCCATCCCCTTCTCATGCACCCACACATGCAGCAAAAAATATCCATGCAGGTTGCTAGACCCCCTTAGAGACTGCTTCCTTGAATCAATTCTATTCAATTCTTAGAACTCATCAAATAGCAGGACCTTCCAACAGGTGGTTTTTTGGACTCCCCTTAATCTCTAAAGACTATTTATAGACACCCATTAAAGGGCCTGGTACATTCTGTTCTAGTGATGCCAAAATAACTTCGGAGTGAGCCAAACCCATGTTTTAAGCATGGGCTACACTGAAAGTACTGTTTGGATCGGTTTGGTACGGATGCGGGAAACATGTTCTTTTGGTGTGGGTACTTGACTCAAGTACAGGTATGCTAAGGGTTTCATCCACAAATCAATACGGTCTTGGTCCTGGTGTAACCAGCCAAGCACATGACGACTGCCAGTAACTGCCCTGTCAATCCAAGTGGCGATGGTAGTCTTGT